TTATGAATCGATTAATCCGAATAAACTTTGTATCAAAAGACTTTTGTGTTCAATATGTATTCCCAATGCTCTTGTTAAGTTGTACTACTATTTGTTAATGTGTTCAAAGTATTGGTTGCTTAGTTAAATGCTATGGCCTCAAGTTGCGTTTCAAATGATAGCTAATGCCAATTGTGTAAGAAATCTCAATGTACTTAAGACTCTTTTTTGCTCACATGTATGCTTAGTGTCTTGAACGTAAATGCCTTGTTGTTGAAAATCAATGATGATGGTTGAAAGTGAAAAGGTGAGCACGAAATATAAAATATGAAATATGGCCAACACGCCACACAAAAAGGGGATATTACAATTGTGACCACTAGTGCCAATGAAATAAAAAGATGTGAAAGAGGTATGAAATGGGATGATTGATAGAAGAGGACAATGTCTCGGATGCAGCGGCCTAGCCGATCGGGTCGTGATCAGACGTCATACCGCACACATGGTGGTGATTGTGTTGGAAATTGAAATTGAAATTGTGATTGTGGTTGATGTCTCATATGAGACGGCCTAGCCAATCGGGTTGTGATCGGACGCCATGCCGCAGACATAGTGGTGACTGTGTTGGAAATTGTAAACGATGGAATATCGATACTAAAGGTCTCCCAACTTAAAATATGGAAATCACTTGAAACCTTGTCTTATTCCTAACTTGATGTTTTGGGTATTGTTTGAGTATCCTATTGATTTTATGATTGTTCATTCTTGTTTCATCATTCGTTCTATTGAGAGAGTGCTTAGTCATTCATACTAGTACTATTCCACAGGTACTAACGTCCCTTTTGCCGGGGGCGCTGCATCTTAAATGGATGCAGGTGGTTCCACAGCAGGTGGTTTCACAGCAGGCGGTACAACTTCTCCCCAGATGACTTGGTCAGCCCCACCTCATTCGAGGTCGTATATCTTTTGTCCTTATGTATTATGTTTTGAGGTATAGCCGGGGCCTTATTGCCGGCACTATCATCGTACTCTTTTGTATCTTTTAGAGGCTTCGTAGATATTGTGTGGGTGGTATGTAAGTGTTGGGAATGTCAAACTAGTAATTTTGGTAACTGCATCACACGTTCCGCACCAAACTATGAAAGTGTATGTATTCTGAAACTTATAGCTGATGAAACTGCTGATAATGAATTGGTGTTGTTGTTGACATGAATCTCCTCACTATCTAATTAATGAAATAGATATTCTCTTTATTCATGAGTGAGTTTGGGTAGAAGGTACTGTATAGGCTTGCTCGTCCGGGTTATCTCTATTGAGCGCCGGTCGCGCTCCCCGAGGTCGAAGCGTGACAAACTTGGTATCAGAGCCTAAGGTTTTAAAGTGTCTTAGGATGTCTCAGAGCCGTGTCTAGTAGAGTCCTTCTTATCGGTGTATTGTCGACCACATCTATAATTAGGAGGCTACTTGGACATTTAGGAATAATACCCTTCTTTGATGTTCTTGATCGTACGATAAAGCTGAATATTCGATTGTTCCTCCTTTAACTCGTGTATTACTCTAACTTTCAGTAAATGGCGCCTAGGAAGAAGGCAAGAACTGGCCAAGGAGCCGATGTTACCCCAGGAATGGCGGTTGATTCTATCATTGATGATGCGGGTGAACACCCGAGGGGTGAGAATATTCCCCCAATTACTACACCACTGCACTAGTTCCTACACCTGATAAGGGTTCTACTATTCCTGCTCAGGCTGCACTAGTTCCTACACCTGATGAGGGTTCAATGAATCCTCCAACTAATATTCCGGTTCCACCTCCAGCCCCAGCTTCCGGTCTCGATGTTTCTGATGGGGATCTTATGGGTGCCATACAGATGATGGCTCAAATAGTGACTTCCTAGGCCTAGAGGTCGAATGTCGCACCCACTTCTTCTAGTCAGCAAGGGGACTCTACTTGTTCTACGGTGAATAGGTTTCTTCAGTTAGATCATCCAGTGTTCACTGGTACTGATCCCGAGGAGGACCCCCAGGATTTCATCGATGAGATGCATAAGACCCACAGAGATATGTATGCTACTGAGACAGAGGGAGTGGATTTGGCCTCCTACCACCTAAAAGGTGTGGCCTATTCATGGTTTGAGATGTGGGAGAACTCTCCCGTGAGGAGGGGAGCCTTCAGGCAAGGTGGAGTGAGTCTGCCGACGCTTTCATGGATCATATCTTGCTTCCCCAAACTAAGGAAGCCCGTTCTGCTGAGCTTGAGAACCTAAAACAAGGTAGCAAGAGTGTGGGAGTACCATATGGAGTTCACGCGCTTGTCCAAGTATGCTATTCACATGATGCCCACTATGGAGGCTAGAGTGCGCCGGTTTGTGCAGGGCCTTAGCCCATTGGTTATCAATGAGGCCGCCACAGCTGCCTTGAATTCTGATATGAACTATGGGAAGATGGTGGCATTTTCTGAAGCTACAGAGAATCGTAAGTTGAAGAACATAATGGAGCGTGAGGGTAGCAGTAAGGCCCGGTCTGCGGGAAACTTAGATGGTTCTTTTGGTGGTGGTGGCAGGTAAACATTCAGGGGAGGGTCATCAGTGCCATCCCAGTCTTTTTCTTATTCTTCAGTCAGTGCACCGCCATCGGGGCCTAGTCAGCAGCAGTGGAGTCGTTTTAGGCCCGGTCAGGGCAACAGGGGATCCTACCAACAGGGTCAGTCTGGTGGGAGTTTCCAGCAGCAGCGGAGGCCCCCATGCCCTAGGTGTGGGAAGATGCACTTGGAAATCTATTACATTGACCTACACATATGCTACGGGTGTTGATTGAGGGGTCACATTCAAAGGGATTGTCGTTCGCCCCGCCAGGGTGTGGGAAGGGGTACAGCACAGCCAGCTAGTTCTGTAGCTACTACGTCCTCAGCACCTCCTCCAGCCCCAGGCACTCCAGCACCCGCAAGGTCTGGTGCAGCTAGGGGTGGTACGCAGAGTTCGAGAGGACCCAACTGTTTCTATGCTATGAGCGGTCGCCAGAGTGCAGAGGCTTCTCCAGATGTTGTCACAGGTATATTGACTGTCCAATCTCATGATGTGTATGCTCTTATTGATCCCGGTTTCACTTTGTCCTATGTTACTCCCTATGTTGCTATGGAATTTGGGATAGAACCGGAACTGCTCCATGAGTCGTTCTCTGTATCTACTCTGGTTGGTGAGTCTATTGTGGTCGCGCGGGTGTATAGGGGTTGTGTTATCACGGTGCGTGGTCGAGAAACCATGGCCGATCTCATTGAATTGGGGATGGTCAATTTTGATGTAATAATGGGGATGGATTAGCTTTATTCATGTTTCGCTAAGCTTGACTGTCGCACCAGAACCGTTAGGTGTGAATTTCCAACCGAGTCAGTAATTGAATGGAAGGGGGATAATGTGGTTCCAAAGGGTAGGTTTATTTCTTACCTTAAGGCCACAAAGATGATTTACAAGGGGTGTATCTACCATTTGGTCGGGGTTACGGACACCGATGCTGAGGCACCTACACTTGAGCTCCCTGGGATCCCGGCAAATAGGGAGATTGATTTTGGTATTGATGTGATGCCAGGCACGCAGCCTATATCTATTCCACCCTACAGAATGGCACCGGCAGAATTGAAAGACCTAATAGAACAATTGAAAGATTTGTCAGAGAAGGGTTTCATCCGGCCGAGTGTGTCGCCTTGGGGCGCACCAGTTCTATTTGTAAGAAAGAAGGATGGGTCGCTAAGAATCTGTATTGACTATCGGCCGCTCAATAAGGTTACAATATAAAATAAGTACCCACACCAATGATAGATGACTTGTTTGACACATTGCAGGGTGCTAAGTACTTCTACAAGATCGATTTAAGATCCGGGTATCACCAGTTGAAGATCAAGGAGCATGATATTCCGAAAATAGCTTTTAGGACACGGTATGGGCACTTTGAATTTCTTGTAATGTCTTTCGGGCTAACAAATGCCCCCGCAGCTTTCATGGATATTATGAATCGGGTCTTCAAACCTTTCCTCGACTCCTTTGTGATTATGTTTATTGACGATATTCTTGTTTATTCGCGGAGTCGGGAGGATCATGCCGATCATCTCAGGGCAGTTTTGTAGTCTCTGTATCAATACCAATTATATGCTAAGTTTTCGAAATGTGAATTTTGGCTCGAATCTGTTACATTCTTGAGTCATGTTGTCTCTAGATAAGGAATTGAGGTTGACCCCCAGAAAATTCAGTCGTGAAGAATTGGCCTAGACCTACTACTCCAACAAAGATTCGCAGTTTCTTGGGCTTAGCTGGATATTACATGAAATTTGTGGAGGGGTTCTCCACTCTTGCCTCTCCGTTGACTAAATTGACGTAGAAGGCGGTTAAATTCCAATGGTCAGTTGCTTGTGAAAGGAGATTCCAAGAGTTGAAATCAAGATTAACTACATGGTACGGATGGGTTTTTGGTATAGTGCGATGCTTCAAGGATCGGACTTGGGTGTGTATTAATGCAACATGGAAAGGTGATAGCGTATGCTTCTAGGCAACTCAAAAATCATGAAAAGAACTATCCAACACATAGACTTAGAGCTTGCAGCGGTGGTCTTTGCATTGAAGATTTGGCGTCATTATTTGTATGGGGTCCATGTGGATGTATTCACGGACCATAAGAGCCTTCAATATATTTTCAAACAGAAGGAATTGAATTTGAGGCAGAGAAGTGTCACGACTCAAACCGATGGGCCACGACGGGCACCCGGTACCTTACTCAACCGAGTACCAACGTAACGTATCTTTCTTATTACATCATCATATACATGTGACATACGGGCCTAATAGGCCAACATGATCATTTATAAACTCAAAACATAGGCCGACAAGGCCGTACAATCTTTCACGTATTCGACATATGTCTACAAACCTCTAAGAGTACATAAATGTCATAAAGGTCGGGACACGGCCCCGACATACTAATCAGTACATGTCCTAATCATATTGACCACATAAGCAACTCCGGAGCAAATGGAGCGCAGCAAAACCTTCCGCTGAGCTGATAGCCTATTTGGAGGACTCTCGACCTGTCTATGAAATGAAATGTGTCAAGTGGTGGTGTATTTGATAGCAAATAAAACGTTGTGTCCCCAGACAAAAGGGACGTCAGCACAAATGATGTACCGAGTATGTAAGGCACATAAATAAGTACAAAATAGACATGGAAGAAATATAGAGTAAATGACTCAACCTGTAAGTCTGGATAACACTGTAAATCATAAAATAGNTCTGGTCATGGGTCAATGTACATGTATAAATGCATGAAATGCATAAGAAATATGTTAATAAGATCTCTCAGTACATCATAAGACCATTATATCTCTGATTAATATCATGAAATAAACTTTACCAACTTACGTATTTTTGAGACCCATGAACAGATGATAAAATAATATGACACGTGGGGAATCAAGAACATAAGCATCTCTAATATTTCTATGAATAGAGTCGTATATGAAAATTGTGCATTTTCTCGTTTCGTTTGTGTCATATGGATCATGCCAAAAGAAATAAGGGATAGCCTTAACATACATGGAGTAGGAAAAAATTCATATGATATTCTTGGAAAAGGTTGCACCGTACTCCTTTAGAATCGCAAAATCCCGTCACTATTACGCAGTATAATTTCGTATGAATTTCTTCACAATTTTAAGAACTGTCGTTGCTATTTTAACATAAAGTACCATATGAACTCCAAAATCTCCTCCAAAAATGGATTTTTGATATCAATTGAATACAATTGTAAAGATGACTAACATAGTCATTCTTTCCATGTTTTTTAGGGCTAAGTGCATAGTATACTTTCATTTTTGAAATGGGGAATGAACCTTGCTGAAAATTTCTTATGGAAATCTCACATTTCATATCATCTCTCTTTGTTAGAGATGTATCTCTCTTTGTTAGAGATGTCTTTTATTATAATGGATGTAGGACCCACTTTATAAGGCTTACTTGGCCAACAATTTCCTCTAAATATGACACCTTGTTTTGTAATTCAATAGTCATTACTTTAGACATGGGTTGCTGCCACGTTGGGGTGGATTTAAGCTTATCCAAAGTTTATCCACCCATTTCCTTAATTACATGGTTAATCTTCCATCAAAAATCCGCAATTAACCAAAAATCCACATAATTAAGAATTATCTCAAATTACTTAAAATACTACTCACTTTTGTCATACTTTATACATCTTACTATCATGGTCATGTGGTACCTTGTATGGCACTAGTCCATAAATATCGGGTATTTTAGCTCGGGCCGTATTATATCCCAAAATGTCAAACTTCGACGAAATTTATTTTCTTCGATTCGCTTACCCTCTCGCCTTCATGAATTTACTTATCCCTTGTTTGAAATAACATAATACTTATAATCTCAAAATAATCTCATTCTCGAGCTTACATCGATTAACTTACGACAAAACTTTAATGTACAAAAAAAATGCGGGATGTAACATCTCATTTTCGAGCTTTCATCAATTTATTTATGGCGAACTTCCACATACGAAAATATGGGGTGTAACAAGAAGATGGCTTGAGTTACTCAAGGATTATGACATCGACATCCTGTATCACCCGGGGATGGTCAATGTTGTGGCGGATACTCTTAGCCGAAAATCTATGGGCAGTTTTGCTTACTTGGAGGCATATCAAAGGCCGTTGGCTAAGGAGGTTCATCGGTTGGCTAGTTTAGAAGTTCGCCTTGCGGACTCTAGTGAAGGAGGGGTGAGTGTGCAAAATAGGGCTGAATCGTCGCTTGTGGTGGAAGTCAAAGAGAAGCAATTCAACGATCTATTGTTGGTACAATTGAAGGCGGGGGTTCAAAAACATAAGACCATGGCCTTTTCTCTTGGCATGGATGATGGTACACTAAGGTTCCAAAGGCGACTATGTGTTCCAAATGTTGATGATCTCCGTTAAAGAATCATGACTGAGGCTCAAACTTCTAGGTATTCCGTGCACCTGGCTCTACAAAGATGTATCATGATCTTAGAGAAGTCTATTTGTGGAACGATATGAAGATGAACATAGCGGACTTTGTGGAAAGATGTCCCAATTGTAAGCAAGTGAAGGCCGAACACCAAAGGCCCGGTGGGTTGGCGTAGAGCATTGAAATTCCAATGTGGAAGTGGAAAATGATTAACATGGACTTTGTGGTAGGACTACCTCGCACTCCTCGCAAATTCGACTCGATTTGGGTGATTGTGGATCGACTCATGAAGTCAACACACTTCTTGCCAGTTAAATCTACCGACACAGCGGAACAATATGCTCAGTTGTATATCAAGGAAATAGTCAGGTTGCATGGCACTCTAGTTTCTATCATTTCGGATCGAGGGGCACAGTTCACGGCTAATTTTTGAAAGAAATTTCAGCAAGGTTTGGGTACTCAGGTGAATCTTAGTACAACCTTTCACCCGTAGACTGACGGGCAGGCAGAGCGGACTATTCAGACGCTTGAGGATATGTTGCGCGCTTGTGTTCTTGACTTCAAGGGCAGCGGGGACGATCATTTGCCACTCATAGAATTTGCCTACAACAACAGTTACCATGCTAGTATTCAGATGGCACCATTCGAGGCTTTATATGGTAGGAGATGTAGATCTCCTATTGGGTGGTTCGATATTGGGGAAGCAGAATCGATAGGACCAGACCTCATGCACCAGGCTATGGAGAAGGTTAAGGTCATTAAGGATCGGTTGAAAAAAGCTCAGAGTCGTCAAAAGTCCTATAAGGACGTTCGTCGCAGATATTTGGAGTTCAAAGAAGATGATTGGGTATTCTTGAAGGTTTCCCCCATGAAGGGTATAATGCGGTTTGGTAAGAAAGGGAAATTGAGTCCGGGGTATGTCGGACCGTACATAAACATTCAAAGGATTGGTCAGGTGGCGTACAAGCTTGAGCTACCACCTGAGATGTCATTAGTGCACCCGGTATTCAATGTGTTTATGTTAAAGAAGGTGGTTGGAGATCCGTCGGTTATTGTGCTAGTAGAGACTATTGAGGTATATGAAGAACTGACCTATGAAGAAATTTCAGTTGCCATTCTTGATAGGCAAGTCCGAAATCTAAGAAATAAAGAAATTGCCTCCGTGAAAGTGTTATGGCGAAACCAACAGGTTAAAGAGGCCACCTGGGAGGCCGAGGAAGAAATGAAAAAGAAGTACCCTCATTTATTTGAATAGCTATGTAATAGTTTCCATGAAATTAATTCCTATGAACTAGGTATCACTTGTACAGGCAGGATATTTCCTTTCTGGGAATATATTGCTTATGAGGCCACGGTTGGTGTTGTTTCATAATATGTTGCATCGTTGGATTATGTACATGTTGTTAGGATTGGTTTCTGGGATTCTCTGACAGGTGGATAGGCCAGTTACAAGGGAAACTCTGCCGAACATTTTGGGAATTTGGGGAGTTAGTCAAAAATTGGGACTACTAGTGTGTGTGAAGTAACAGCTGGGTCATGTTGAGTACTAATGACGGATTTAGACCCTCATTCGAGGATGAATGATCTTAAGTGGGGGAGGATATAAGTCCCTATAAAATTTCACCTAAAACCCGAGGTTCCGTGGTAACGAGGTAGGCTAATATGTTTGGTGATGGTAGAAGTTCTTCGCAACGAGCTTGCTCGCCGCGGTACGGACTTTTTGGGTTGAACAGTGCGCTAGGGAGTTAAAGGAAAATGTTGGCAGAAAAAAACATTTCTGCGGCCCACTATGCGGTCGCAGAATGGCCACAGAGTGAAGTTGAAACTGAAGCAAAATTTGTGGGCCATTATGCGGTCCACAGATTGCATCGCAGGATCGACATGAGGAATTCTGGGAGGAGATTCTGCGGTCCGCTTTGCACCGCATAATCGATATGCGGACCGCAGAACAGCCGCATACCCAGGCAGCGATGCCCAGTTCCAGAGGGCCATTTCGCGGTCCATTTCGCGGACCGCAAAATTATTATGCGACCGCAGATTGTGTTTCAGAGCTTCATTTTTTTGGTTTTTATAACCCGACCCCATTTCGTTATATAGACTCCATGGACCGTTTCTTAAATAAGAACCTGACATTTTGAGAGTGAGAAAGTGCTCTAGAGAGGGAGAGAGTTCCTCAACTAATTGTTCTTCAATTCTTACTCAAATCTTGGAAGATTAACAAGGAAAAAATACTAGGTCTTCATCCTAGAGGTAAGATTCTATACCCTAACCCTCAATTTCGAAATTTAACTAAAAATAGGTAATTAGTAAGGAAATTCTTGGGTATGGTAGTTGTCCCTCTTGCATGCATGTGTTATCTAAGGGTGTAGGACGATTATTGGGCTAAAAATGGTAGATAACGGGTGGATGATGGAATCCACCATTGTAGGGCCTTGAAATCTTAATGCACACCTAGTGTTTGATAAAACGCTCAAATGAGCTGGAACCATGATCATCTTCCTAATTTTTGGTTCAATTTGTTATAATTCTGAAATAGATCGAAGTTGCTATAATTTTCGGAACATTTTAGTATTTAAGGAAGATCAAGTGAGGTATGTTGGCTAAACTCTTCCCATAGAATTGAACCGCACAATGTCATTGTAATTCCCAAGTTACTCATTATGAATCGATTTTTCCGAATAAACTTTGTGTCAAAAGACTTTTGTGTTCAATATGTATTCCCAATGCTCTTGTTAAGTTGTACTACTATTTGGTAATGTGTTCAAAATATTGGTTGCTTAGCTAAATGTTATGGCCTCATGTTGCGTTTCAAATTATAGCGAATGCCAATTGTGTAAGAAATCTCAATGCACTTAAGACTCTTGTTTGCTAACTTGTATGCTTAGTGACTTGAACGTAAACGCCTTGTTGAAAATCAATGATGATGGTTGAAAGTGAAAAGGTAAGCACAAAATATAAAATATGAAATATGGCCAACACGCCACACAAAAGGGGGATATTACAATTGTGACCACTAGTGCCAATGAAATAAAAAGATGTGAAAGAGGTATGAAATGGGATGATTGATAGAAGAGGACAATGTCTCGGATGCAGCGGC